GCCAGTAGGCTCTGCCAGCCCGAAGCCGGAGCTGCTGAGCGGCCCGCAGACCCTCGGCTTGGGTGTGCGGGGGTGCCCTGACTTCTGCTCACCTTGGGCCTCGGTGGGGAGCCCCGGCCTTGGCAGGCCCTCTGTGCTGCCTCGGGCCTTGGAGCCAGCCTGCCTGGCTTCTCAGCCTGTCATTGTCCCCCGCCAAACGCCTGCCCTCCCTGCCCAGCCTCCTGGAGCGCCGTGGAGCAGTCCCTCGTCAAGCTCGGGGAGAACCTGAACAGCCTCAGCAGCTCCCCACTGCGAAGCCAGGCTGACGACTGCGTCTCCCTCATCAAGAGGTAGCTTTGCGCTGCTGTCTCCGTGGGCTCGGAGGGTAGAATGGGTCTGAGCCCTGCGCCGAGGTCCGAGAGCCTCCTCCCTCCCTCCCAGTTGACCCTGCGCTGTCACTGGGCTGGGGCAGGTGAGAGGCCCTGGGCTAGGAGAGGGGACAGGGCTAGTGGTGACCTACTGCAAAGGAGTCTTACCCAGGGATTGCTCCTCCGGAGACCCTGCGGCCCCTCGCCATCCCTCAGCTGCTCTGGCCACTCCGGCGCTGCCGTCCCTGCTCTGGATCCCAGCGGCTCCCAGAGCCCGGCTGTGGCGCGGGGGCTTGGCTGTGCCCTGGGCTCTGCTGCAGGAGCTACAGGCTGCCCTGGCCCGGGGGGGGGCGGGACAGCAAAGGTCAGGGGCTTGGCGGAAAAGGAGGAGGGGATAGGGGAAGCAAGGATCGGTCCCTGCGAGGCTCCAGTGACCCTGTGCTGTCGTCTCCCGCCCAGCATCCCCACCATGCTCTCGGTGCACTCCGAGCAGCTGAACAAGACTGGCTTCCCCACCGTGCATGCCGTGGTGCTGCTGGAGGGGACCATGAACCTCACGGGAGAGACCCAGCCGCTGGTGGAGCAGCTGATGATGGTGAAGAGGATGCAGGTACAGAAGTGGCATCTTGCTTTTCTGCTCGGGGTGGCCTGGGGCCGTGGGACCAGGGCCTCGTTGCGGCTCTGTGCTGTGTACCTCCCTGCGCTGATCCCGGTCCAGGGCCGTGGGCACAGCTGCAGGGAGCAGCAGGAGCCCATCGACACCTTCGCAGGGGGTTCGGGGGTTGGCTGTGCTTGGCGGAGGCACTTTGTTGCCTTTCCAGCACTGGAGGGTTTTGTCTCTGTGCCCCGCAGCGCATCCCCTCCCCGCTCTTTGTGCTGGAGATCTGGAAGGCCTGCTTCGTGGGCCTCATCGAGTTGGGTCCCCAGCCAGCCCCGTGCCTGTGCCTCGGTTTCCCTGGGCCAGGAGCCCGGCGCACGGTGAGCGTGGTCCCGTTTCTCCTCCCCAGCTGCCACGGCAAAGCAGAGGAGTGCATCGGCCTCTGCCGCGCGCTGATGAGTGCCCTCAACTGGCTCCTGCGCTGTGCCGCCTTCTACACCGAGAAGGTGAAGGAGACGCTGGAGCAGGCGGCAGCTGAGAGCCAGCTGAAGATGTGTCTGGAGCGGCTGGAGAAGATGCTGGGCAGCACCAAGAACCGCGCCCTGATCCACATCGCCAAGCTGGAGGAGGCGTGTATGTCGCTGCCCCGCAGCACCGCTCCGCGTCCCCGCTGCCGGGGCTGCCTCCTGGTCGCGGCTGGCCCTGGGGAGATGTCAGTGCCACCTCTCCCTTCCCCCTGCCCGGCTCCTGCCGCAGTGTCCCTGCGGCTCCAA